AATATCTAGTTCAAATGCCATCTCTTTCATGAAGTCTTCCCAGATTCTTTCAGTCAATAATCCTATGATCCCTGACCTTGATAGCACTTGCTGTTAAGGAGTTTTCATGTATTATAATACTTTGTAAATGTATCATATCAACTTACGAGATTATGAGCTCAATGGTGGGACTTGCTCCCTCACTCTATAGTATATAGAGAAGGTGCTTAATCAATGTTTGTTGAAACCAGATATTGAAAAAATGTTCCTTAGCATTAGGGAAGTTATGGATAGTCAGTCAGTCAATATGCATCTATTAAGCACTTCTTCTGTGTCAGGCACTGTGCTAAGCATGGGGGACACAAAGAAAGTTAAAGAACAGTCCCAGCCCTCCAGGAGCTCATAATCTAATGGAGGAGCCAACCAACATTAAAACAACTACGTACAAACACACTATATGAAACATAAATAGGAAAGAAGCAACAGAAGAAAGGGACTAGAATTAAGAAGGTGAGGTTTTGGCTAGAACTTAAAGGAAAGCCAGAAGGTAGAAATGAGAAAGAAGAACATTGGTCAGAGATGGGTGAGTGTTTTGTTTATGAAACAGTGTTTCTGTTTAGAAGAATATGATGGGAGGTGAGTGTGGGTGTTTTTGTGTGTTTTATGTGTGTGTGTGTGTGTGTGCACATAAAGTAAAAGAAGACTGGAAAGGTAGAGGGGCAGGTCATAAAGGACTTAACTGCCAAAAAGAGGATTCTGTATTTGATCCTGGAGGTGACAGAGAGCTAATAAAGTTTATTGAGTGTATATGTATAAAGGGGGGGGGGAGTAAGCGGGGAAACATGGCTGAACCTATACTTTAGCAAAATCACTTTGACTGCTGAGTGGTAAATTTAGTGGAGTGGAGTGGGGGAAATAGTTGTGAATGGCAGACTGATCAGCTGGCTGTTGAAAGAGTTCAGGTGTAAGGAGATGAGAGCCTGACCTAGGGTGGTGGCAATACCAAAGGAGAGAAAGGGAAATATTTAACATGTTGCTAAGGAAAAACTGATGGGTTTTGGAAACAGATTGGTGAGAGATAGTGAGAAATCAAGGATGACACCTAGTTTGTAAGCTTGGGGTAGGGAGGATGGTGGTGTCCTCAACAGTCACTGGGGAATTTGGGGGGAAAAGAAATTGAGTTCCCTTTTGGATATGTTGAGTTTAAAATATCTATGGGACATCCAGTTCAAGATGTCCAAGACAGTTGGAGATGTGAGACTGGAGGCCATAGATTAGGGCTGGATAAGTAGATTTGAGAATCATCAGCATAGAAATAACTGAATCCATGGGAAATAAAGCTCAGGGCAGAAGATTCAGCCACTCAACAATACTGAAAAAGTGATCACTTAGGGATAAGCTGTGATAAAATAGTATAAGGTGAAGCAAATAGGAGATAAGGGACTCTGCCCTCATGGAGTTTATATTCAAGACAGAGATAGATACATGACATTCACATGAAAAAGATGAAAAATAAATTAACATGCCATTCTGTACAAATTAATATGGTGAGGGAAACATGCTCAGAATGACTTCTGTATTCCCTACATTAAAGATGAATTTAAAACTGTGAAAATATTGTACTGAGGATATACTGAAAATCCTACTAACGTTGCTGGGAGAAAGAACCAATAGACCTATCTGATAATTTAGAGTCATTTTAAACGTCTTTAAATAATTTTTTCTCATTATTTAAAAACCTAAAATACTTTTAGGGATTTTTAGATAATCTCCTCTTGCTAAAACAGAGCTTGCCCTGATTCTTTTATAGTAATGAGTAAATAGAAAATGAAAATAGCACAGTACTTTTCTCACATCTCTTAAGATTTTCTTTTATTTGGCAAGCTATATTTATATAGAAAAAATATTTGTTTTTAGACGTGAAATAGATCTATGACTAACTCATCATGAACTTACTAAGACTTTCTTATTCTATTAAAACAGTGGAACAGTACAGCCCTTGGTTTTTCTGTAACTGAAAATGTAATGTTTAGTTATACAACAAAAACTAAGGACCTGAAGGCTAAATCTTATGATATTTCAACCATTCTACATTGTTAAACTTGATTCAGCCATGAGACATGAACTTCACAGTATCTGTAGGGGAGAAGAGGAATGCCTTTTGGCCTACTGGCTGCTTTTGTTTGTTTGATCAATCCTAAAATTTTGGAAATGAAGACTAATTTCATTGTAGCAGTGGTTACATATTGGCAAATGTGACAGCTCTTACCTGTACACCTGTAGTTAGAGGCTACTCCCTTAAGCACTGCGTCAAAAATGGACATTTCCACCCTCTGCTTTCGGTGGTGACAGCTAAGCAGCAAAGAAGGCTGGGACACCACAAGATACAGGAACGGGTCGAGCTGTAAGTCTCCAGCACCTCTTCGTCCAGGCTGTCGCACAATAGTGATACCAAGGGCTTGTCTAGCAGAAGATCTTGTAGATGAATGGAGATTTTCTAATGAAAGAAGTCCTATCTTTCTTCCAGAAGGGAAAGAAACGTTACTGCTTATGAGGTCATCAGCTGTCACCTTAGAAATACAAGTCTGGCTGAGCTGAGTAATGCCTTCTGACTCTGTTGCTGGTAGGTTTAATGAGCTCTTGCCGACTTTGTCACTATCACTCTGGTCTTGTGCTTTCATTTTGGGTAAAGCTGTACAGGAATAGGTCATCAGAGAGATTCGACTTGCAGTAATAAATATGTCAAAGGGAATAAAATTTAGATTTTTCACAATTGATGACTGGTGAGAAGGACGGGCAATCCTATGCTGACTGGCACCACTACGTTGCTCTATTTGAACAATCCTAATTTTGACACTGTCACTACCAATGCCACTGTCTTGGGCTCCACTGCAACGGGAAGAGGTTTCTGCTATGCCCCCATCGGGCATATCCATGTTTTTCTGTTCTTGTTTGGAGACCTGTAAAGGAAAAAATTAAAATCATTCTATAAGTTATACTTAAAGTATTTCCATTTGACTGGCAAACAATTATACTAAGCATGATGGGGAAAAGGGAATTATAAAAAAATCTGCCAAATTCAACTTCTAATGTAGTCATCCCTCATGAAAACACAGTAGGTGTCTGTTCCAAAGAAATGATGACTCGCCTTAAAGGGCCAAAAAAATACAAGAAGGGAAATGAGGAAATATGGGTTTCTAGTTTCTAACATACAATTTGGAGTTTATGTCTCTTACTCTGAATTAAAATAAAACAGTATCCATGAGAAGCTGTACCACTTGAGAAGATTAAAATATTTGACAAAAGTAGCTCATGTTAAGCTGTGGACAATATTATGTTTAAAATAGTATTTGATAACATAAAACCATCCTGTAAGATTTTCTGGAGTAAGAAGTGTGTGTGTATGGGAAAATTTTTTTCCCCAAATTATAAACATATTGGAAAAATATGCAACCTGTCACCTATAAATATTAATATCAATACCTGGAAATATACTTTACAGTAGTATAGGCACTTAAAACAATTATCAAGGGAAACTTATCTATTTAAAGCTGAATTTTTCCTTAGCTCATTCAGTGTTATCAGCTCTCCCCAACTTTTTGATTCCATGACTCCTCCACTCATCAATCATTCCTACTCTAAACAAGCCCTTATATATAACTATGAGAGGAAAGGAATCAGGGATGGGTTGGACATGACCTGTATAAGGAGAGCAGTTGTAATCCAGGAAACAACATGTCAATAAACCCCACCAAAAAGTGTGCTCTTAGACATCTTTTTCTAGGTCCTTCAAGTGCCATTTTGAGAATTACTGTTCAAGGTCTTGCATTTTCTCATTAAGTTCTTGCCACTTTTTTCCTCACCCCAAATTACAGTGTATATATTGTGTATATCTCCTATAATCACTTTTCTGTGAACATGTTGTATCCCTCCAATAGAATGTAAACTTCTAGAAGGCAGGAGAGCTCACTTTTGTATCTATATCCCAAGTGCATTCCAAGAGTGTTTGGTTCATAACAGCTAATAAATGCTTGTTAATTGATTGACTCACATGTTGTTTCTCCAATTATAATCAATTTGCTTTTAAAAGGCCTAAATATGAAACAGTTTTTAGGCTACCAATAAAAAATGTAATAGTAGTATAAGGCAAGTTAAATAAGTTAAATCTCCTATGCTTGACTGATTAAGGAAGGAGTACTTCTCAGGAAAAATACAGTTATGTCTTGAAATTGGAAGACTTTGATATTATTATTATTTTCGAAATAAAAAAGAAAAAAATTTAAAATAACCATATTCAGTAAAAGAATCACACAAAGGACTAAATTCTCCTTTACTGGCAGATGAAAACCAGTAGTTGTGTTGCTATCATGGAATCAGGGAAGAGGTTGTGATAAGTTGGAAGAGGTACATATGCATCCGTAATCATTTTACCAGCAAACCATCTTTAGTAAAACTAGGAAAATCACAATCACAATGACATTTTTTAAGCTTTCAAAATTGACATTACAAACACTTGAAATGCATCTCCTCATATAGTATCAGCCTTTAATTCTCACCGAAGTGTCATGTGAAAAGCAATAGCTAAGGCTCAAGAGATAGTTGATCGATACCCTTTACTGATGCTTTGCCTCCTTCACTAACAGTCTACACCTTGTCTCATTGTGACAGGCAGGTGAACCTGAGTTCTCAGAGGCTGCACCTGGCAAATACAGGAACTGTGAGTCTTACAAAGCTTGAAGGGTTTGGAGTAACAGTGGGTGTGTTTGTGATCCAGAGACCTAACCTTACCCAACTCATTGATGCTCAACTCCAGAATGAGGGCATTAGGTGATAAGATTGTTTTTTTAGACCTGGCCATTCACAAGGGCTATCTACTAAGGTATAGAGAGGGTATATGAGCTACATCAGTATAAGTATTTATGGATCCCTGAAATATAGCAATATACTTCAAACTAAAAAATCCTTTGGGTTAAATGTTATGGCAGACCCCAATCAGTCAAATTTTGTGAACTTATGGGGAACACTTAGAATGAAAATTGTTTCATTCATTGAAAAGCAAGAACATATTAATGAGTTTTAAAAGACATAACTAGATGTCAGCGTCAAATTTTCTCCTGCTGGATAAGGCAGCATTGTACAATGGACAGAAAGCCAGCCTCTTAGTCAGGAAGACCTGACTAAGTTCAAATCACTTAATTCATCGGTGCCTCATTTTTTTTTCTTTTTTCTTTTTTTTTGGCTAAGCAAAGGGGTTAAGTGACTTGCCTAGGGTCACACAGCTAGTAAGTGTTATGTATCTGAGGCCAGATTTGAACTCAGGTCCTCCTAAATCCAGGGCCAGTGCTCTATCCACTGCACCACCTAGCTGCCCCTGTGCCTCATATTTCTAAGATCATATAAATTATAGAGCAGGTGCTGATCTGCCCTAGTAAAGTCTACTTTCTCTACTGCAATAAAATCACAAGTTCAGTTAAAAAAATTTTTTTTTTAAATAGTAATCCACAGCTGTCTTTACCTGGGGTCCGAAACTTAAAAAAAAATTTTGACAACCAAATTTTAATAAAATTTGTCTTTTTTCTTTTATGCATTTAAAAAACCCCCACATTACTCTGAGAAAGGGTCCACAGGTTTCACTAGACTGCCAAAGGGGTCCATGACTCAAAAAATGTTCGAAACTTCTGATATAATCTCTTTCTTATATAAAGTGAATTTAGTGCTACCTAAAATGGTTAACATGAAAACACCAATCATCTGTAAGGAAGAGAAGAAAATACAGTGCCCATTTCAATTCACTAAACATTTTATCAAACATCAGCTATGTTAGGTCACTGTTAAAACTTATTAAATGTTATGGCCACACTAATCTCTAGCTGCCATTAAGTAGACTGGTAGTGTGAAATAAATAAGCAGCAAGAGCACTGTAGACTACCACTCATACTGCATAGATAACTGAACAGAAGTCAGATGGCAATGCATCCCAGTCACATTCCAAGCAATATGGAATTTGGCCGTGTCATCCAGAAATGAAAAGCTGTGATTTTTATATTAAAAAAAAAATCATGGTGTACCCAGGCTTAGCAGCCTGGTTTCTGAAAACGTTTGTTCAAAACCAAGATTTGTCATTTTCCTTTGCTGCAGAAATAATATTTTCATAATTGAAATAAATAAGCTATAATTTTCAAGACATATTGTAGATATTGAAAAAAAATCTGCTGATGTGTTACTAGAACACTGCAGATATATCTGTTACATTGAAGAGCACTTGGCCAGCTATTGAGTAAAGTTTTACAGTTAATTAAGTGTGCCTGGCCATAAACTTGGGCATCAATTTACCATTCCTTTGTGGAAAAAGAAAACTTCACAATGTAATAGCTTTAAAAAGACCTTTTGCTTTACTATAGGCTAAAGGGACTAATAATTTAAGTTGTCAAAAACAGCAATATTTGCTTGCTGTTAGTGACTATAACAGAAACATTTATCATTGGGCAGTATTTGTTATATCAGTTTTACTCTTTACATAACCCATTTAAAATGAACAATAAAAGTTTTCTTTAATTAGCTACTGGTGTGCATTAACATGATCATGATTAAACCATAAAAACCAACTGTACGTTACTCTGGTCCCCTCTCCCATATGTTTTAAATTATTCTAGTTGAAAATGTACTTTGAGTCCCTTTTAAAGGTTCGACCTTCTGCTTTCAGAGAATTAAATGCATATTACTGTAGTGGAGAAGATAATGTTTCAGACCTCCAGGCATATATTAAACACACTGGCAGCACATTAGACAAAATGCTTGACTTATTAGATACTTCCTATTCTAAACAGTGTCATCAAAGGCTAAAAACAAAATCCATATAAAAGCTGCACAATGCTTCCACACAGAACCTGTGCCAAAATCCCTGTACTTTCCAACTAATGAGGAAAGGATGTGTACTCTTAACATATGAATGTAAGATTTTCCAAGCATTCACTTTAGGAAACTGGGCTATTGATTCCATATGGCTTATGTTAAATGAAACTGTATTGGTAAAATAACCTTTAAGATATCTGGCATGATAACTGTAATTAAACAGTATTCAAAGGGCTAAAACAAAGGAGAATTTGGTTCCACAATAGCTAATTAAAATAAAATGAAAAAACACAGCATGTCATCTATCAAGATAAATTGTTATTGTTTAAGAACTATTTAGATACTGTTAAAATATACTTTTAGATAAAATCTGAAAGGCTTGGAAAAATATTTGTGGCTTAAAAATGGATAGTTTGGCGAAGAAAAAAGTATAAGACTCTGAAATTTTATGCGGAGATAACAGCTTTAAGGCTTTGAGCATAACCAGATGGTTCTTAAACTGCAGGAATTCTACAGTTTCCCTGTCAATGGGCTTCAATAGGAGGAGGTTTTCAATAGCTAGGAAAACATGTCAAACTGATAGTTTACTTCTTAGATCATTTCAGTGCATTTTCCCATGCTACAGTTATGTAGCCTACAGATACTAGCCACCATGGAAAAGGTGCTGAAAGCTCCACTAGTAGCTAGGGAACTATGGCTAATTCTTCCTTTTTATGTACCATGATAGGTGAGTTTACCAGTTTAACCTTTGGACTTTGGGGGGTGGGTGGGAGTAAGGAATGGGGAGGGCATGGGCAATTGGTTATGTCTAAAAGGGCAGGCTTGGATGGCACTTGTACATTCTGACAATAAAGAGTAAATATAGGAGAAAACCTCAAATAAAACTAATTAAATGTTTTCCCAACATATGTCTGTCTTGGGTTAAGTAGTTTTCTAGTAGGGAAAAAGAGTATCCTAACCAATTCTCACTAATAGAAATTTCAAATAAAAGGATTGAGTTTTGAAAGAAAAAGTGGTAACATATTAGAACATGCAGAAAATTAATCTTATTAATATAATGATTTTATTGTGCTAGCTAACAAAATATTTAAATATCCTATTACAATAC